CGCAATTGGCAACAACACACCCTTTCTACTCTGCAGCAACGAGATATACATATCTTCTCTCTGTTTACTAGTCCAGAATCAAGTCACCTCAACACTTACCGAAGTCATGATTCATGAAATTCCCTAAACCCATAGAAAGAATACATCAGAATTAAAGGAAGGTAGAGTGAGAACTATCAGAAGCTGCTGACATCTCCTTATATACAGGCTGTCAACCTTTATGTTAGTTTGGAACCACCAAGAGCGCATTAAATAGTTTTTAAGTTTTACAGATGAAGATTTACAACATTATATAATAAAAAAAAACTTTATGAAGTGCATCCATTAAATAATATTATTAAAGTTTCAATTCTCATAAGCTAAAAATGAGAGTTAGACTTCACTGAAGCGTTTCAAGGAAACTTTTTTATAATATAATACTGTAAATCTCCCCCTATAAAACATTCTCGAGGTCCTGGTATTATGAGCGTACCCTGAGTTTAGGAAGAATTTAATCCGGCCCTGACCGCAACCCTTGACAGGTGATATACCAGTTTTCACACCTGCAAGTCCAAAAATCAAGCCTTAAGCATTACTATGACATACATTCTAACGCCTTAATGCCTTCTTGTGTGTAGTGGCCCCGTGACCTTTCTTTGTTCCCAGTATGACCCACATAGACCAACCACACACCAGCCTGATCCATATAATCCAGCCACACCCCAGCATGATACACATTGACCGTCTACACCGTCAGTATGACCCACATAGTCCATCCATACCCCCACCATGACCCACAGAGCTCATCCACATCTCCAGCATGACCCACATACTTCAGCCACACCTCCAGCATCACCCACAGAGCCCAGTCACAACCCCAACATAATCCACATAGCCCTGCCATACCCCCAGCATGACTCACATACTCCAGCCACACTCCCAGCATGACCCAGACAGCCCAGCTTGATCCACACATTCCAGCCATGCACTCCAGCATAACCCAGACATCTCGGCAAAACCTACGCAGTCTCACACATCCAGCATAACCCACAGAGTCTACCCACATATCCCAGCATGACCCACGCAGTCTACCCACACATCTCAGCATAACCAACGCAGCCTACCCACACTTCCCAGTATGACCCACGCAGTCTATCCACACATCCCAGCATAACCCACGCAGTCTACCCTCACACCCCAGCATGACCCACGCAGTCTACCCACACATCCCAGCATGAACCACGCAGTCTACCCACACATCCAGCATGACCCACGCAGTCTACCACATCCCAGCATGAAACCCATGCAGTCTACGCACACACCCCAGCATGACCCACGCAGTCTACCCACACATCCCAGCATGACCCACGCAGTCTACCCACACATCTCGGCATAACCTACGCAGTCTACCCACACATCCCAGCATAACCCACGCAGTCTACCCACACATCCCAGCATGACCCACGCAGTCTACCCACACATCCCAGCATGACCCATGCAGTCTACGCACACATCCCAGCATGACCCACGCAGTCTACCCACACATCCGCATGAACCTACGCAGTCTACCCACACATCCCAGCATGACCCACGCAGTCTACCCACACATCCCAGCATGACCCACGCAGTCTACCCACACATCCCAGCATGACCCACGCAGTCTACCCACACATCCCAGCATAACCCACACAGTCTACCCACACATTCCACATAAGGCACGCAGTATACTCAACCGCATGAAACACGCAGTCTACCCACAATCAGCATGACCACGCAGTCTACTCACATCTCGGCATAACTAGCAGTCTACCAACATAGCAGAAGCATGTTTAAATGATGACCATCACCAACATGGCATACCTCGTGTCTACCACGACGTCCAGAATGACACGCAGTACCACACATCCCCAATGATCAGCAGTCTACACACATCCCATGACCACGCAGTTACTGCAACATTGATAATTTAGCAGTTACACACTATTCCAGTATGACCACGCAGTTACTCATCATTCGCTGACGCATCTATAAACTCCAGCATGAGCCACCCGTCTACCACACCCCAACTGTACAGTATTTCCCAAATTCCAGCATACCACGAGTCTCCACCATCCCAGCATGACCCACGAGTTTACCACAATTAGCATTGATCCAGCAGTCTACCCACTACATTCAGCATAACCATGCAGTCTAACCCACATCCAGCATAGACACGTCAGGTGAATTTCGTCAATCCCAGATGAACGCAGTTACATCAGTTCCAGCATGACCCACCATCTACCATCAAGTCCAGCTGACACGCAAGTTTACTCATAACCCAAATGCCCACCAGTCTAACAACTCCAGCATGACCCACGCATCTACAAATAGATGACACGCAGTCTACCCACACTATCAAGATACCCACGAGTCATACACACATCCAGATGACAAAGCAGTCTATTCCACACTTCCATCATTGAACGCAGTTCCCAATCAGCATGACCAGCAGTTTAACTACATCTCAGTATGACCACGCAGTTACTCAACATGCATTGACCAGATCTACAACTCCAGAGACCCACGAGTCTACCACAATTCCAGATTGACCCACCTGTTACCAACATCCAGATACCAGCATTACCGCATCCTGCATGACCCATCAGTTACTACCCACATATCCCAGATTGACCACAGTCTACCTAACTATCCAGCATTGACCCACGTCAGTCTACCCACGCAATCCACAGCATGATCCACGCATTACCAAATCCAGCATGACCCACGCAGTCTACCCACGCATCCCAGCATGACCCACGCAGTCTACCCACGCATCCCAGCATGACCCACGAAGTCTACCCACACATCCCAGAATGACACCTGAGAATATAAGATAAAACAATATTTCTCCCTAAATAATGCTCATCACTTTACTCACTCCTGGTGGAACTAATTTTAAATGCAGAAAGAAATGTTTAATTTGATGATCACACAGGACAAGCGTCCTGTGTGATGCTCACGAAGGTCAGTAGGAAAACACTTACATCAGATTTTGTTTTGCAGTGATATTTCATTCCCTGCAAGAGCTTTTGCAAATGATTATTTGAAAAAATGCTTGATTTCCGAGGTATATATGATTTTTTTTTTTTGCTGTGTGATTCTTTGGATTATATTCATAGCCTCTTGCACCCCATCTTATATTTAAATGAAACAACTTCATGAGTCCCCCATCCACTGATAAGATTTTATTATTAATTATTATTATTATTATTATTATTATTATTATTATTATTATTATTGTTATTATTATTATTATTATTATCATTATTATTAATATTAATATTATTATTATTATTATTATTATTATTATTATTATTATTATTATTATTATTATTATTACTGGAGTTAAGCCCGTTCAGATCATATTACTTGTGTTTGGATGGTAATTACGGTCATTCCAGTGAAGCGACTCGGTGATCTGTTTCCCTGGAGCAAGAGCCCTCCACTAGCATCAAGGTTCCACTGACAGCAAAGTTTACTCATAAACCCTAATGGTCCATCATAAACTTCAGCTCTCCTTAATCTGAAGTCAAATTAGGATATAATAAAGTCAAGTGAACTAATTAAGGATAATTAGTGTCAATAAAGTCACAGTTTAGAGATAATGTTATGATCGGTTATGGTCACTTTTTTCTCATTACTTTTATGTGATATGTTAATGTGACTGATGATGTTTATATTATTCTTGAGTAATGGATTGATGGCATTCTTCTAGGATGATTGATATCATAACCCAGGAGTAGAGGATTGATCTCAGTATAATTAATGAATTAGTTACTTGTGATAATAAATGATATATTGCAATCTTGATATTATTATTACAGTTATTATTATTATTATTATTATTATTATTATTATTATTATTATTATTATTATTATTATTATTATTATTATATTCAATGGAAAGAGAAATAACGTATGATTCATATTACAACCTGAAATTGAGATTATTAGCTTTGATCTTAGTAGGTGGAGGGTAACTTCAATTCCTTGGATCTAGTGCCCTAGACCGCCATCTAGGCGCCTCCCTTGAAATAACCACAGGTAGACTATCCCTCAAATTAGGTGGCAAGCACAAATTACTAATGGTCCTTGAACTAGTCTGTTATTAAACTTAATGACAGATCAGATCATTAAGGCTCATTAACGGCCTGCTCGGTCATTATGGTGTGATTAATGGCCTGGTTCTTATAGGAGGGGCACTTTGATACTGGTGACTGGCTCTTTATCCAAGGAATTGAAGCTACTCTCTCTTTTCTCCCGTTCAAAGCTGATAACCACCCATTCCAAAGACGCTGTTTGACAGTTATGGGGTTAATTATTCTCATGATAATAATAATAAATAATAATAATAAAATTAATAATAATAACTGTAGTAAAATCATTTACTGACTGATCTTCCATTGTGAATGCTGGGTAACTGTTGATGTAATTGATAACATACAATAAACTGAAAAATAAAATAATTATTTGTAGAATATAAATGGAAGCTGCAATTGATGGGTTTAATGTTTGTATGGTTACAGTTTACTTACCATTATGACAATATATTATTTTGCTTATTCTAGAGGAAAGCCTCTTGTTATGCAAAGCACTTTTTAAATATCAGTGCTATAAGATACAGACAGGTTAGGTTAGGTTAGGTAAGGTTCGTCAGGAAACAGGACAAGTGTTTCCTGACGAGGGTCTTAGTCAAATGATTACTCGCCGTTGGAGGTTTTGGTCATCTGACCGAGGCCCTCAGCTGGCTTACCGGTCCACCCCTTTAAAAATTATGGTTAGTTATAACCATTACTGGATACTGACAGGTATGGTAGTAAGACACAATATGCAGTTCAGGGCATTTTTTTTTTTTTGAGATGTTTCGTACACCATAGAGGTTATCATCATTTCTCACTCTGGTCGAAACGTCTTCTCAGTGGAATTCCATTAACAGCATATTGCCTCTTATTAACAAAGCACTTTCTCGTGCCCCGAGACAGGTACATCATCGTAGGCACGGAGTCCGTGGTGAACTATACGCCCGTTACCGAGCTGGACTACGGTACCCTCCTGTGCTGGGCCAAGAACGACATTGGCACGCAGATCCATCCTTGTGTCTTCCAGATAGTGGCCGCAGGTAAGATGTTCCAGTGTCTCCTTTTGCGTGCGTGCGTGTATGGTGTGTGTGTGTGTGTGTGTGTGTGTGTGTGTGTGTGTGTGTGTGTGTGTGTGTGGCTCATCAATGGCAGGTAAGGAATCGTAACTGTCGCTTATGTGTGTATCGTTCATTAGTGGCAGGTAAAGGATTTGAAGTGCCACACTTGTAAGTCTTTCATCAGTGGAAAGTAAGACAATTCCAGTGCCACTTGTGTGTGTCATTCAACAGTTGACCTGCAGCTTGCCTGTGAAAAGTTCCCGTATTACTGCCCTCAAGGACAGATCCCAGATCTGACATCCCAGATAGAGGGCATGGTCAATTAGGCTGTGGGTACTGATCGCAGGCACCCGATCGTAGTCACCACAGCCGAGCTGATGAGGAAGTGACTTGAGGAATTTATCAAGCTACATCATGAAGACAGCTAGGGATCAAGTGGCCATCTGCCTTATGAAGAAAAGGAAGGTGATAGAAAGGTTTTATCCACTTGTCACTTGCTGAGTCTCTCATTACGGGTATTTTGCACCTTTTGGCCAACCACTTGGCAGGTAAAATAATAAAACGTAACACGCTTGCGTGTCTTCTAACTTATTCATTTAAGCAAATGGCTGTCATTTAGTATGGCTCTAAATCGTGCAAACAGCGGTGACGCTATCAATATGAAGCGGATTTTTTTTATATATTTGGATCCTCAGTCTTCTCTCCATGCTGTATTAAAATAACTGGTGTTACTGCATGAAAAATTGATTGAATTTGGTTAAACGACGGTAATCTAGTCTCAGTAGAGTATGTAGATTATCATATTCATGTAAAATACTGAAACTGATTGGGCTACCCAACTCAATGAGTGATGAAAGTTCGATCTTTAATTCTTTAATATATAATTGGTACTATGTTCCAGTTACACAGTAACACACTTAGAGCGGTTAATCTCGCTTGCCATGTATTACAATCCAGGAGTCCCAAAGGCCTGTTATCCTGGGTGTAAAGGGAGCAAAATAAACACAGCAGAAAAACTCTTGACTTATATTATCCTTCACCAATTTAGAACAGAAGTATGTACACTATATACACTATGTACAACAATAGGTATTAGTGCACTCCACGGTAAGCAAGGCAGAATAGAAGCCACTAGAGAGCAGACCGTGCTTCAAACAGCTCTAGAATGGGAATGACAAGGGCAGACAGGTGAGTGGTACCCACAACACCTCTGAGATTGCCAAAACCATCTTCTCATTGGCTGGAACCTGGGTATTGATTGAACGACGGGGCCCCATCATCAACCCTAGTACCTGGTTCGCTGGTTGGGGAAGATAGCCTTTCAATGAGGGTGTGTACATGCACCGAATAAAGGTTACGTACTCTTTGCACGCCACACCCCCACCCCGAGAGGGCTCAGGATTAGGCTCCCACCTCCCAGTGGTAACTGAGCCGCCATGGCACCATGTAATGGGACCGCCTTTCCTCTCAACCATCCAACTCTTAGATAGAGCTCAGCTTTATTCGCGACAAAAAGCCAAACCCTAAACTCAGAGTGAGACAGCAGTCAGTCGGGCTAGCGTAGGTCCAAAGTGCTGGAGGACGGTATCCCGCACTCCCTCACTAAAAAAAAAAAAAAAAACACCAGGGGATAAAAAAAAAGAGCTTGAAAGGGATTACCACAGGTCCCTAATACTTCCTAACCTAACATATAATTATAATTATGAATTTTAAATTTTTGATGAAGAGTCTGCCAACTTATTTTCTTTGCCGGCAATGTGTAATATTCTGAGAGAATAGGGTTGCAGTCGTAGACTCCATCCCATTAGCCTCGTATTGTGGTTCTTCATGGCTTGGAGATATACTAGAGGGCTGTGGTCGCTATAGACAGTGACCGCCTGCGAAGTCTGGCCCACGTAAACATCTAAAGCCAGTACCAGCGCGAGGGCTTCTTTTTCGATAGTAGAGTAAGCCATCTGGTGCGGCTGGAACTTCAGTGAGAAGAATGCCACAGGCTGCAACTCCATGTTTAAGCCCTTTAGTAATTTCTAAACCAGGACCATATCTCAGTTTTAACTCTTTCTTCCAGTGAAGGATGGCATTGCTTTCTTATTCTTATGAGTTCTTATGGGCAGATCTCTTCAAATTACTTCGCCACTTCTTCCACCGTCACAAGTATTTATTCTTTGTTTTTGATTGAAGAAGTGACTGTTTGGCAAAGCATCTTCATGGAAAAAAATACACGGGTGTAGAAGCTTTCTAATTCATCATCCTCTTGACTGACTCGAGTTTCACAGCACGCTTAATGGCCCATGCTAGGCAAGTCAAACTCACATCCACCCGTCCAACCTATATTTAAATCTTCCTAAAGCTTTTGCCTCAATGACGCTGCCTGGGAGTTTGCTCCATTCATCTACAACTTTAATGTAAAACTAGCACTTTCTAATTCCCTTCCTTAGAACATAAAAGAAGAACACTGCAGCAGGACTACTGGCCCATACATGACTCAGTTTCTGCGAGTTCTGTCTTAGGTATTTTCAACACGCTATTTATATCCCTTTATTTATTCCGGTTTGTACCCGTACACTTCAGTCATTTGTCTCCTAATTCTATGCCTTTCCAAAAAGTGCAAACTCAGTGCCTTCGAAGCCTATTTTTCTCTGTATATTTTTGAACGTATTTGTCTATTCTGTAATGTGGATACCAAAACAGAGCAGCATAATCTTAAATGAAGCCCATCCAAAGAAATATTAAGTTAAAGTATTACATTGGGACTTCTATTCTTTATACATCTTGGTGTGAAGCCAAGAATTCTATTAGATTTATTGAGAAAACTGGTTTAGAAAGACACGTAAGCAAACACTATGACATATTTATTAGAAAACGTTTTCTAATAAATATCAAGGTCCCAGGACCGAAACGTTTTCTAATAAATATGTCATAGTGTTTGCTTACGTGTCTTTCTAAACCAACTTGTCGGTATTTATTACCAAGGTTTATACCATTGAGAAAACTAAATCACTGTTGTCTTATCATTTAATTTCTGCTAACAAAAACTCGTAGATCTTTTCCGAATTAATTTTAATGAAGATCTTCATTGTTTAGGTTATCAGTGTCATAGTTATTTCCTTTTCCTAGAATTATAGCCTCACACTTGTCTGCACTGAACTACATCTGCCACTGCCGATCACAACATGAACCTGTCTTGATCATCCTGTACCTTTCCTGTATACACATCAGAAATTATTTGACCTCCAATTTTAGTGTCATCAGCAAATTTATTTATGTCGATACTAGGAGAGGGTTCAATAGCGGTGCGCAAACTCGATATCATCTAAATCACCAAGGACAAAGCAAAACTGCTGATATGAGTCTTCCAAAGATATCATGAATCTTTAGCAAACACATCAGTAAAAAATAACGTATTTCCTCGCTTGTGAACTACTACAGTACTAACAGCCAGCAAAAGTTTTGGGCAGGATGTAATATTTTTGTGTCTTCTTTAAGAAAGGTCAAAGTTTGATAGTTATGGGTTGAACTCTCGTGTAGAATAAACTTTGGGTCTAAAATGTTTACTGGGAGCAACCACGGCAGTTTGTCCATATTCATTCGCTGTCTCTGTCCCTGTCCATCTGTCTGTCTCTCTCTCTGTCTCTACTATCTGTCTCTGTCTGTCTGTCTGTCTGTCTCTGTCTGTCTGTCTGTCTCTCTCTCTCTCTCTCTCTCTCTCTCTCTCTCTCTCTCTCTCTCTCTCTCTCTCTCTCTCTCAGTATCATGAAACACGAAGGCATCGTCGGGTATACACAGAGGAAAATATTCTTTCCTTCTCACGAATTCTGATGGTGCGGACAGTCGTGGGTCACGCCAGGCCTCTAGCTCTCAGTATTCAGTAGTCTTAGCTCACGCAAGACCTGTATCTCTATGTACTCAGCAGATTTTGGTCACTCCAGACCTGTACCTCTAAGTACTCAGCTGAGTGCTTGATCCACAAAATTTCATCCACCCTTCCCCTCACGAGATCAAAACTGATTACCTCCCATTCCCTATGAATACTCGTCTTCCCCAACGCAAAGGAAGGCAGTTAATGATAATTCTTATATTGGCTAGGTAAAGTAAGATATTGCCGCAAGTTTTGCAACGCTAAGTTAGGTTAGATTTGCTTTGTTATCCTTGGGACAAACTTTACAATTATCTTCATAAGAGAGAGACGCGAATTTCCAGGTGAGCCATATTAATACAGTGTTCAGGGAATTTAAAGTAATACCTCAATTTAGAAAAATATCGTCATGATTTTAAATGTACGAGAATGTGGATGGGATGGAGTGATTTGTAATTATTATTATTATTATTATTATTATTATTATTATTATTATTATTATTATTATTATTATTATTATTATTATAGTCACAGAGAAGATTCAGTAGTTAGGATTATACAACGACTAAGAAAGGTTTCCCTGTAAGAAAAAATTCTTAGCTCTATTTCCTTGAGTTGAAAGCCCTCCATTATCTTCAAGGCATCAACAACATTTAAAGGTGATGGTACGTGACTGAGAAAGCAGGATAGAAAAGGAAGCCGGTGAGTTTCTCTTCTTCCTAAAGGAAATTATTAACTACAGCCACGTGAATGATCTCTAAGTACTAGATCATTAAATATTATTTCCCACTATGATACTTTTTTTTTTTGCATTTTATGAAATGTGCTTTGATACCTTTGATGGGAATGTACACAAAAAAAATCACTGAGAAAATCATAACTTCAAAGAGCTCAAACAAAGCTATTGTTATGCTTTTTCAAATATAACTTGGAGTTTATATAGAAATCACAGGTCACTGAACTCTCAAAAGGATATATGTGGTGAGTAAAATGTTCCAGTCATGGCTTCATATAAATTAATTAATTTAATTAAAGAGACATGTGTATGTTACTCATAAATCTTGTCAGAAATGTTAAAGTACAAATTATAATATTAACCAATTTATCACTATAATAATGGTGGTCA